ACGGTCAATCATTTTCGCATTTGTTCACTGTGGATCAATGGAAAAATTCAAAACTAGAAATAATTTTCAAAATGGACTATTGTTTATTGTTCTACAAATCAAGGAAGTAGAATCCAGTTCTCATCTTTCACCTGCATTTGTATACGTACAATCTGGATTCATAAGGCTTCCTGGTGTTGAAGCAATTCAATTGAATCAGAAGCTATACTAGTATCCTGAATAAATAGACACACCATTAGTTCAGCAGCAAAAACAAAGACCGGAAGAGATCATTCAGGTCTCAATCCCAACAACACTCGAAGAGGTGATTGAAGATTCCGATTCGACTTCAAAGAAGTCATTTGTACAGTCCGAGGAGGCAAGAACCAACTGGCGATCAATATGGATCATGGCGTTTATATTGTTTTTAGTGAAGATGCAGTTCTCGGTTTATTATGCAACCGTATGGCCATTTCTTCAGGAGGTATGTTATCTTCAGGAGATATTTCGAGTGCTTTGAATCATTTTTATATCCATTGGCACAGACCGCATGTCATCCACATTCAACTGATTTGGTCGCTAGTTGATCATCAACTGATTAACGATTGATCAATTAACAATACTGAAAAAATGCGCTTGAAGAATTGCTGCACGGAGTGTTTTCAAGAGAGAAGAATGATAGAAATGGAATAAAATGAACGATATTCGATTATAGATTTCAGATGGATCCCACTGCTACAACGACATTTTACGGCTTCATGACTGCATCGTACAGTTTAGGTGCTGCGTTGTCGGCGCCATTGTTTGGCTATTGGTCGAACAAAATGAAACAAATTAAATTACCAGCAGTCACTGGTATTGTCGTAATGTTCATGTCGAATCTTTGTTTCATGTTCATCGAATTCATACCAACGAATAGGAAATACTTCTTGTTGCTCGCTAGACTCGGTCATGGCACTGGAATAGGTTCGTTTATTCGTTCTCATTTGTTCCACAGTTCTTATTATCCCACAAACTGAATGCTGATCCATTTTATCTGACTCTAAGGCAGAGTTGTTTCAAACGGGAGAGAATCAGTTTCGCGAACATGTCTTGCGCGGCATATATTCTCTTTATCACACAAACTTCTTAAGTTCTAATTATCATTCGCAATCGTAATCACTCGTCATTTTTGACGTTTTCAACAACCAACGAGTTTCTTTGTGCGATACTCTTTGCGTGATGATTCTATGCCAACGTGTAATAAAGATTGCATTAAAGTAGTTTAGTTTTTATTGAGTATCTATTCCTTTGTTTGCTTTCTTCAGAACATTTTGAAATACTGCGAATGAGACGAAAAAGCGTAACGATTGGTTCATTGGAAATGATAAAAGTGTGAAATATTCCAATGTATAATGTAAATATTTCAAGGATCATAAATCATAAACGCTGCAAACGAATGTTCAAAAACGATGCTGTTAAGGTTGTATGCAAGCAGCTAATCGCAATGAACAATTCAAAGAATTTAAGGTGCATCGATACTACTGCAAACATATTCAGCTATTGCGAGCGCTAATAAGGACAAATCCACCGCAGCGGCTATTTCGGACGGTGCATATTGCTTGGGTCTTGCGTTTGGACCAGGTTTCCTCTTCGATTTTTTGTGTGCTTCAATGATGCTTCTCACTTGAGTTGTTCCACTAAATGAATCCATACATCAGCACAACAGAATACGAATGCTCCAGTGATGATCGTATTGAGGT